CTGCCTGTCTGTCTGCCTGTCTGTCTGTCTGTCTGCCTGTCTGTCTGCCTGTCTGTCTGTCTGTTGGGAGTCTGCGGCGTCTCTCTCCCCGTGGCCGCGTGGATTTTTCTCTGCGTCCTCCGGTTTACCCCCCCCTATAAACGTCCACGTGACGATGATGACGACAATGATGACGACGATGATGACGATGATGACGACGACAACGATGATGACGATGATGATGACGACGACGACGACAACGATGACGATGACGACGATGACGACGATGACGACGACGATGACGACGACGATGACGACGACGACGATGACGACAATGACGACGATGACGACGACGATGACGACGATGACGAGCCGCTTTGTTGAGCTGTCACCACGTGGATGAAACAACCGACTGGAGAGACCGGCAGCAGCAGTAACAGTGACAGTAACAGTGACAGTAACAGTGACAGTAACAGTGACAGTAACAGTGACAGTCACAGTAACAGTGACAGTAACAGTGACAGTAACAGTGACAGTAACAGTGACAGTAACAGTGACAGTAACAGTGACAGTAACAGTGACAGTGACAGTAACAGTGACAGTAACAGTGACAGTAACAGTGACAGTAACAGTGACAGAGACAGTAACAGTGACAGTAACAGTGACAGTAACAGTGACAGTAACAGTGACAGTAACAGTGACAGTAACAGTGACAGTAACAGTCACAGTAACAGTCACAGTAACAGTGACAGTAACAGTGACAGTAACAGTGACAGTAACAGTGACAGTAACAGTGGCAGTAACAGTGACAGTAACAGTGACAGTAACAGTGACAGTAACAGTGACAGTAACAGTGACAGTGACATTAACAGTGACAGTAACAGTGACAGTAACAGTGACAGTAACAGTGACAGTAACAGTGACAGTGACAGTAACAGTGACAGTAACAGTGACAGTAACAGTGACAGTAACAGTGACAGTAACAGTGACAGTAACAGTGACAGTAACAGTGACAGTAACAGTGACAGTAACAGTGACAGTAACAGTGACAGTAACAGTGACAGTGACAGTAACAGTGACAGTAACAGTGACAGTAACAGTGACAGTAACAGTGACAGTAACAGTGACAGTAACAGTGACAGTCACAGTGACAGTGACAGTAACAGTGACAGTGACAGTAACAGTGACAGTGACAGTAACAGTGACAGTAACAGTGACAGTAACAGTGACAGTAACAGTGACAGTAACAGTGACAGTAACAGTGACAGTAACAGTCACAGTAACAGTGACAGTAACAGTGACAGTAACAGTGACAGTAACAGTGACAGTGACAGTAACAGTGACAGTAACAGTAACAGTGACAGTAACAGTGACAGTAACAGTGACAGTAACAGTAACAGTGACAGTCACAGTGACAGTAACAGTGACAGTAACAGTGACAGTAACAGTGACAGTAACAGTGACAGTGACAGGAACAGTGACAGCAGTGACAGTAACAGTGACAGTAACAGTAACAGTGACAGTCACAGTGACAGTAACAGTGACAGTGACAGTAACAGTGACAGTAACAGTGACAGTAACAGTGACAGTAACAGTGACAGTAACAGTGACAGTAACAGTCACAGTAACAGTGACAGTAACAGTGACAGTAACAGTGACAGTGACAGTAACAGTGACAGTAACAGTGACAGTAACAGTGACAGTGACAGTAACAGTGACAGTAACAGTAACAGTGACAGTAACAGTGACAGTAACAGTGACAGTAACAGTAACAGTGACAGTAACAGTGACAGTCACAGTGACAGTGACAGTAACAGTGACAGTAACAGTGACAGTAACAGTGACAGTGACAGGAACAGTGACAGCAGTGACAGTAACAGTGACAGTAACAGTGACAGTAACAGTGACAGTAACAGTGACAGTGACAGTAAAAGTGACAGTAACAGTGACAGTAACAGTGACAGTAACAGTGACAGTAACAGTGACAGTAACAGTGACAGTAACAGTGACAGTGACAGTAAAAGTGACAGTAACAGTGACAGTGACAGTAACAGTGACAGTAACAGTGACAGTAACAGTGACAGTAACAGTAACAGTGACAGTAACAGTGACAGTAACAGTGACAGTAACAGTGACAGTAACAGTGACAGTGACAGTAACAGTGACAGTAACAGTGACAGTGACAGTAACAGTGACAGTCACAGTAACAGTGACAGTAACAGTGACAGTAACAGTGACAGTAACAGTGACAGTAACAGTGACAGTAACAGTGACAGTCACAGTAACAGTGACAGTAACAGTGACAGTAACAGTGACAGTCACAGTAACAGTAACAGTGACAGTAACAGTGACAGTAACAGTGACAGTAACAGTGACAGTAACAGTAACAGTGACAGTAACAGTGACAGTGACAGTAACAGTAACAGTGACAGTAACAGTGACAGTAACAGTGACAGTAACAGTGACAGTAACAGTGACAGTAACAGTAACAGTGACAGTAACAGTGACAGTAACAGTGACAGTAACAGTGACAGTGACAGTAACAGTGACAGTAACAGTGACAGTGACAGTAACAGTGACAGTAACAGTGACAGTTAACAGTGACAGACAGTACAGCAGTGACAGTAACAGTGACAGTAACAGTGAACAGTAACAGTGACAGTAACAGTGACAGTGACAGTAACAGTGACAGTAACAGTGACAGTTAACAGTGACAGTAACAGTGCAGTAACAGTGACAGTAACAGTGGACAGTAACAGTAACAGTGACAGTAACAGTGACAGTAACAGTGACAGTAACAGTTAACAGTGACAGTAACAGTGACAGTAACAGTGACCAGTACAGTAACAGTGACCAGTAACAGTGACAGTAACAGTGACAGTAACAGTGACAGTAACAGTGACCAGTTGACAGTAACAATGACAGTAACAGTGACAGTAGACAGTAACAGTGACAGTAACAGTGAGTAACAGTGACAGTAACAGTGACAGTAACCAGTGACAGTAACAGTGACAGTAACAGTGACAGTAACAGTGACAGTACAGTAACAGTGACAGTAACAGTGACAGTAACAGTGACAGTGACAGTAACAGTGACAGTGACAGTGACAGTCACAGTAACAGTGACAGTAACAGTGACAGTAACAGTGACAGTAACAGTGACAGTAACAGTGACAGTCACAGTAACAGTGACAGTAACAGTAACACTGACAGTGACAGTAACAGTGACAGTAACAGTGACAGTGACAGTAACAGTGACAGTAACAGTGACAGTAACAGTGACAGTAACAGTAACAGTGACAGTAACAGTGACAGTGACAGTAACAGTGACAGTAACAGTGACAGTCACAGTGACAGTGACAGTAACAGTCACAGTAACAGTGACAGTGACAGTCACAGTGACAGTGACAGTAACAGTGACAGCAGTGACAGTGACAGTAACAGTGACAGTGACAGTAACAGTGACAGCAGTGACAGTGACAGTAACAGTGACAGTGACAGTCACAGTAACAGTGACAGTAACAGTGACAGTAACAGTAACAGTGACAGTGACAGTCACAGTAACAGTGACAGTAACAGTGACAGTAACAGTGACAGTAACAGTGACAGTCACAGTGACAGTAACAGTGACAGTAACAGTGACAGTGACAGTAACAGTGACAGTAACAGTAACAGTGACAGTAACAGTGACAGTGACAGTAACAGTGACAGTAACAGTGACAGTGACAGTCACAGTCACAGTGACAGTAACAGTGACAGTAACAGTGACAGTAACAGTCACAGTGACAGTAACAGTGACAGTAACAGTGACAGTAACAGTGACAGTAACAGTGACAGTAACAGTGACAGTCACAGTGACAGTGACAGTAACAGTCACAGTGACAGTAACAGTGACAGTAACAGTGACAGTGACCTCCATGCCAACAACGTTGACCCCAAGAGGTCGCCACGGCCCTGTGCTGACCCCGCACGACGAACCAACGAATGTGTGGACGGACGAACAAAATAAATTGAACGAATGAACGAGACGGAGTGAAAGAATGAACAAAATGGGTGGAAGAATGAACGGAGAGGATGAACGAAATGAATGAAAGACCGAACGAAACTAGTTAAATAATGAACGAGGTGTGTGGAAGGATGAACGAAATGAACGAGAGAATGAACGAAATAAATGAAAGATTTAACGAAATGAGTGAAAGAATGAACTAAATGAATGAAAGCATGAACCGAATGAAAGCATGAACGAACCGAATGAAAGGGTGAACAAAATGAATGAAAGAATGAACGAGGTGAATTAAATAATGACCGAGATGTGTGAAAGAATGAGCGGAAAGAATGAACGAAATGAGTTAAAGAATAAACGATCCGAATAAAAGAATGAACGAAATGAACGAAAGGCCGAACGAAATTAGTTAAATAATGAACGAGGTGTGTGGAAGAATGAACGGAAATAATGAACTAAATGAATGAAATAATGAACGAACCGAATGAAATAATGAACGAAATGATTGAAAGAATGAACGAGCCGAATGAAAGGATTAACGAAATGAATGAATGAAGTGAATGAATAAAATGAACGAAATGAATGAATTCACAGCAACGCCTCACACCAAAACTAGTTTCACGACCACAAAGCCTGAACAGCAGTCCACCCAGCTTCCCCCCGTAACGAGAAGTTGCGTTGGAAATATTTGGCGATGAATGACGTGGACGTGACATCGTGCCCGTGTTGATGGCTCCTCGTTCTTGCAGCTGTGCCTTGTCTACTGGAGGCTTCTCAACGTGACCAGCAGGCAGCAGCAGCAGCAGCAGCAGCCACCGACGATGAGTCGGCTCCCAACGCCGTCACGGCTGGGTTCAATCCCTAGCCCGCCAGCAACTCAACTCTTTCCGTAGAGGGGTTCATAATGGCCGTGTCAGAGACACTGAGATCCTGGGTTCGAGCCCTGGGTCTGGGTGTTTCTCTCTCAGTGGGTTCACTATGGTCACGTCAGAGACACTGAGACCCTGGGTCTGGGTGTCTCTCTCAGTGGGTTCACAGTGGCCACGTCAGAGACGCAGAGACCCTGGGTTTGAGCCCTGGGTCTGGGTGTCTCTCTCTCAGTGGGTTCACAATGGTCACGTCAGAGACACTGAGACCCTGGGTCTGGGTGTCTCTCTCAGTGGGATCACAATGGTCACGTCAGAGACACTGAGACTCTGGGTTCGAGCCCTGGGTCTGGGTGTCTCTAATTGATGTCCACCCCTCTCACTGCTGAGACCCTGGGTTCGAGCCCTGGGTCTGGGTGTCTCTAATTGATGTCCACCCCTCTCACTGCTGATAAGCTGGGTTCGAGTCCTGGGTCTGGGTGACTCTAATTGATGTCCACCCCTCTCACTGCTGAGAAACTGGGTTCGAGTCCTGGGTCTGGGTGACTCTAATTGATGTCCACCCCTCTCACTGCTGGTAAGCTGGGTTCGAGCCCTGGGTCTGGGTGACTCTAATTGATGTCCACCCCTCACACTGCTGAGAAGCTGGGTTCGAGCCCTGGGTCTGGGTGTCTCTAATTGATGTCCACCCCTCACACTGCTGAGAAGCTGGGTTCGAGCCCTGGGTCTGGGTGTCTCTAATTGATGTCCACCCCTCTCACTGCTGAGTAGCTGGGTTCGAGCCCTGGGTCTGGGTGTCTCTAATTGATGTCCACCCCTCTCACTGCTGAGACCCTGGGTTCGAGCCCTGGGTCTGGTGTCTCTAATTGATGTCCACCCCTCTCACTGCTGATAAGCTGGGTTCGAGCCCTGGGTCTGGGTGTCTCTAGTTGATGTCCATCCCTCACACCGCTGAGAAGCTGGGTTCGAGCCCTGGGTCTGGGTGTCTCTAATTGATGTCCATCCCTCTCACCGCTGAGAAGCTGGGTTCGAGCCCTGGGTCTGGGTGTCTCTAATTGATGTCCACCCCTCACACCGCTGAGAAGCTGGGTTCGAGCCCTGGGTCTGGGTGACTCTAATTGATGTCCACCCCTCTCACTGCTGAGACCCTGGGTTCGATCCCTGGGTCTGGGTGTCTCTAGTTGATGTCCATCCCTCAAACCGCTGAGAAGCTGGGTTCGAGCCCTGGGTCTGGTGTCTCTAATTAATGTCCACCCCTCTCACTGCTGAGACCCTGGGTTCGAGCCCTGGGTCTGGTGTCTCTAATTGATGTCCACCCCTCTCACTGCTGATAAGCTGGGTTCGAGCCCTGGGTCTGGGTGTCTCTAGTTGATGTCCATCCCTCACACCGCTGAGAAGCTGGGTTCGAGCCCTGGGTCTGGGTGTCTCTAATTGATGTCCACCCCTCTCACCGCTGAGACCCTGGGTTCGATCCCTGGGTCTGGGTGACTCTAATTGATGTCCACCCCTCACACCGCTGAGAAGCTGGGTTCGAGCCCTGGGTCTGGGTGTCTCTAATTGATGTCCATCCCTCTCACTGCTGAGTAGCTGGGTTCGAGCCCTGGGTGTCTCTAATTGATGTCCACCCCTCACACTGCTGATAAGCTGGGTTCGAGCCCTGGGTCTGGGTGTCTCTAATTGATGTCCATCCCTCACAATGTGTGGAGCGCCCTCACTCGCGGCGTTCCCAAGTGAACACGGCCGCCCAGGGTGTCGATATCGTTGCCTGTTTTTTATTTAAATAAATAAAGAGATAATCCAATTTGAAGTTCACGTGTTTAGATCTACAGTGAAGGCTGCATTGGTGAGTGTAAAGGATGAGTACACAGGTGAGTGTTGTGAGTCTATTGGTGAGCGTAAAGCTAAGTATGGGTGAGTGTGTGTGTGTGAGTCTATGTGTGTGTGAGTCTATGTGTGTGAGTGTGAGTCTATGTGTGTGTGAGTCTATGTGTGTGTGAGTCTGTGTGTTTGTGAGTCTATGTGTGAGTGTGTGTGAGTCTATGTGTGAGTGTGAGTCTATGTGTGTGTGTGTGCGTCTATGTGTGTGTGTGAGTCTATGTGTGTGTGTGAGTCTTCCCATACCTGGGCAATGTGCTTGTGACTGGCTCCAGTTTAACATCAGAGGTCTCACTCTGAATCAGTCGAGCGGCAATATCTTTTCATCGGTTGCGTAACGCTGTGTGGAAGCTACCTGGTCTGTCGCTCCGCACTAAGCTTCAGGTCTTCTCGGGCACGGTCATTCCCTCCCTTCTCTACGCTTGCGAAAGTGGACCCCCCTAATGGAACATCTTCGCCGGTTAGAAACATTTAGGCTGGCCTGCCTACGATCCATCCTGGGTTTAACCAAACTGCATTGTGTGAGGAGCTCACAAATCCTTGAAAGATCTGGGCAAGGTCCCATCAGTGAGCTCCTCCGGCGGGGAAGGCTGCGATGGCTGGGTCATGTAGCCCGCATGCCCAGCCACCGCATGCCGAAACAGCTTTTGTTCGGCCGGATTGAGGGGGCTAAGCGGGCGCGGCACGGGCTAAAGAAGAGATGGAGTGATGTGGTACAGGAGGACGTAGAGCTGAGTGGACTTGCCGATGACTGGTACCAGCGGTGTCAAGATCGGCCTCTGTGGAGGAGGCACGTGAAGGATGCTACTGGGCAGTTGGAGGCAGTCGCCCTCCAACAACAAAGGAGGGCGGAGGAGCGACGCTCACAACAACGAGCGGAGCGCCGGGTGGCTAAAGCACAGCAGGTTGGCACAGTAGGGGGCACAGGTGGTGCATCAGCCAGTCATCTCAGTCATCTCAGTCAGTCGACTCGTGGCACCTGGGTCTGCCCCATGACCTCCTGCCAGCGGGCGTTCGACACTTCACGTGGCCTCAAGGTGCACATGGCCTGGCACAAGCGTCGTGGTGACGTCACCGCCACTTAGTGGCGAATGGCGGTTGTTGTTGTTGTGTGTGTGTCTGTGTGTGTCTGTGTGTGTGTGTCTGTGTGTGTATGTGTCTGTGTGTGTGTCAACAACAAACTACACACAACAAGAACAAACTACACACAACAACAAACAACACACAACAGCAACAACAAACTACACACAACAACAAACTACACACAACAACAGACTACACACAACAACAAACAACACACAACAACAGACTACACACAACAACAACTATACACAACAACAACTACACACAACAACAACAAACTACACACGGGTGAGTGTATGAGTGAGTGAGTGGATGAGTGTATGTGTGGGTGAGTGTACAGTATGAGTGAGTGTTTGGATGAGTGTATGTGTGGGTGAGTGTACAGGTGAGTGTACAGGTGAGTGAGTGGATGAGTGTATGTGTGGGTGAGTGTACAGGTGAGTGTATGAGTGAGTGTTTGGATGAGTGTATGTGTAGTCAATAGGTGAGTGTGTGAGTCTTTGGCTGAGTCTATGACTGAGTCTATGGCTGACAATGACTGACTCAATGACTGAGTCTATGGCTGAGTCTATGACTGAGTCTATGGCTGACAATGACTGACTCAATGACTGAGTCTATGGCTGAGTCTATGATTGACTCAATGACTGACTCAATGATTGAGTCTACAGCTGACTCTATGATTGAGTCCATTGCTGAGTCTATGATTGACTCTATGACTGGACTCTATGACTGACTCAATGATTGAGTCTATGGCTGGCTCTATAGCTGAGTCTATGACTAACGAATCTATGACTGAGTCTATGGCTTACTGGGTGAGTCTATGACTAACGAATCTATGACTGAGTCTATGGCTTACTGGGTGAGTCTATGACTAACGAATCTATGACTGAGTCTATGGCTTACTGGGTGAGTCTATGATTGACCCTACGACTCACCCTACCACTCACCCTACCACTCACCCTACGACTCACCCTACGACTCACTCTACGACTCACCCTACGACTCACCCTACGACTCACCCTACGACTCACTCTGCCACTAACCCTACGACTCACCCTACGACTCACCCTACCACTCACTCTCCGACTCACCCTACGACTCACCCTACGACTCACCCTCCGACTCACCCTACGACTCACTCTACGACTCACCCTACGACTCACCCTACGACTCACCCTACGACTCACTCTGCCACTAACCCTACGACTCACCCTACGACTCACCCTACCACTCACTCTCCGACTCACCCTACGACTCACCCTACGACTCACCCTACGACTCACCCTACGACTCACTCTCCGACTCACCCTACGACTCACCCTACGACTCACCCTCCGACTCACCCTACGACTCACTCTCCGACTCACCCTACGACTCACCCTACGATTCACCCTACGACTCACCCTACCACTCACCCTACGACTCACCCTACGACTCACCCTACCACTCACGCTCCGACTCACCCTACGACTCACCCTATGACTCACTCTAAGACTCACCCTACGACTCACTCTACGATTCACTCTAAGACTCACCCTACGACTCACTCTACCACTCACCCTACGACTCACTCTACCACTCACCCTACGACTCACCCTACGACTCACCCTACGACTCACTCTAAGACTCACCCTACGACTCACCCTACCACTCACCCTACGACTCACCCTACCACTCACCCTACGTCTCACCCTACGACTCACCCTACGACTCACCCTACCACTCACCCTACCACTCACCCTACCACTCACTCTACCACTCACCCTACGACTCACCCTACCACTCACCCTACCACTCACCCTACGACTCACCCTACCACTCACCCTACGTCTCACCCTACGACTCACCCTACGACTCACCCTACGACTCACCATACCACTCACCCTACCACTCACCCTACCACTCACCCTACGACTCACCCTACCACTTACCCTACGACTCACCCTACCACTCACCCTACGTCTCACCCTACGACTCACCCTACCACTTACCCTACCACTCACCCTACGACTCACCCTACGACTCACCCTATGACTCACCCTACCACTCACCCTACGTCTCACCCTACGTCTCACCCTACGACTCACCCTACGACTCACCCTACCACTCACCCTACGACTCACCCTACGACTCACCCTACCACTCACCCTACCACTCACCCTACGACTCACCCTACCACTCACCCTACGTCTCAC